TGAGAGGGCCTTTTCTGAAAGCTGGCCACCTTTTCTGTGGGATCTCAATGAATAAAAGATAAAGAGTCACAACAGGAAGACATCTGTGGCAAAAACAAACACATTACTCTTTCCTCCACAGCACACCCACAGCCGTCTTGACATGTGAGAAAGGAGCTTGGGTTTTCAAAAGTAAATATTTATTGATGAAACTTTATAGGTAACAAATACACAGTCTTAACACAATCATTTTTTTTTGTATTGCAAAATAAATAATAGTAACTGAGTTGTCTCTTAATAGCAGAAAACAAGCCTTCATCAGACCTTTTGGTATACTCTTAGTGTCTTTCTGTGGATAGAAACATCTATTCTCACCTCAGCTTTCCTCCACAAGACTTATTATATATAATCCTATCAGCTCTTTCATAAGGACAAACACTTTCCACCATGCAATCTATAACACAAGGATAAGAATGGATTGATATTGCTGCAGTGATTTTGCGTCCTATTGACTAATTTCTCACCTGATGTCTGTTTATCTATTTTTGAAACTAACAATTAGTTTAATGATGAGGGTATATGTTTTGGCCATCATAAAACTCCTCATGATGATGAGCACAAACTCAAATAAGTTTCAAAACCTTATCAACTCCTATTACGACATCTGTTTTGTGGATGCATGAAAAAAACCCCAAGATTATATCTTTTTTTTGCTGCATCCAATTATAACGGAGTCAGATAATGTGTGAGGAGGGTCAGGCAAAATCATTCAACTGTATTTTTTATAGAACTGCATCTATACATATTTTGTATTGTGTGAGGGAAAGAGGAATCTTTAACCATTGATGCAATATTCAAAACATTTAATTGGGCATTGGTTTAACTTAATCTCTCCAACCAACTTTGCAGAGATTCTGCAACTAACGTTGAGCATTTGGTGCACCCCATCTCCATCTGGGCGGCTGTGGCTCAGTCGGTTGTCTCTCAACTGGAAGGTTTGGGGTTTCGATCCCTAGCTCCTTTAGCAACATGTCCGATGTATCCATGGGCAAGACACTTAACCCTGATTTGCTCCGGCTGCCTCATCGACGGCACATGTATATATATAATTTGGGATGAGTTACTTCTGCTGGTTACTTTACATAGCAACCTCTGACATCAGTGTGTGAATGTGTAGGTGTGACCTGCGGTGTAAAAGTGCTTTGAGTAGTCAGGAGACTAGAAAAACACTATACAATCTCAAGTCTATTTACCATTTTACAATCTCCTCTCTCTCTTCCCCAAATTACTTGTCTCTCTTCAGCTGTCCTATCTAATAAAAGCCAAAGCCAAATAAATAAGCTTCAACAGCTACAAAAAACTTAAACCAAATTCACAGTTTAACATGAACAGTTTCTGATGGCAATGTAAAAAGTTACTAAACTGAGTTCCTTTTTGGCTTATTCAGTGGAGATGGTATCCCATAATAAAAAGAAGAATGCTTGCTACACCTCCCTGCCATCATGCACATCATTCTCACTTTCTTTCCCATGTGTTCTGTCTCCTTTCAGTAAATAAAGACAAAGACCAAAACATCCATCCGTCCATGCATTATCTATACTGTTTATTCTATTCAGAGTCAGAGTTGGCTGGGGCCAATCCCAGCTGTCATTGGGCAAGAGGCAGGGCACACCCTGGACCAGCATCCAGTCAATCACAGGGATGACAAGTAAAGACAAACAAAATTGAAATTTAGAGGCACCAGTTAACCTACTGTGCATGTTTTTGGACTGTGGGAGGAAACAGATTACCTCTAGGGAGCCAACACATGCATGGGGAGAACATGCAAACCCCACACAAAAAGGCTCCTTGTCTTTCCAAACAGGGGTATTCTTGATGAGGGTGAGAGCAGTAACCACTGCACCACCATGCAGCTCGGGCCAAAACATAATATTTAAAAAAAGGAGAACAAGCAAACAGAAAAAGCAACTCTGCAGCCAACAAATGTAACAAAGAGGTGACTCTCTGTGGGCATTAAGTTTATCCCAATTCTGTGAGTGTTGGAAGAAGCAATATTAAGGTTACAGTTCAACAAACATCCCTATTTCCCCGTGCTATGTAAGCCAAGGCCCTTGCTCTGTTGCTTGAAACCCCCTCAGTAGTTTTCTGACAGGCAATGAATTACAAAACAAATGGAACTTTTGTCACATTTTCTTGCGGACAGGACCAACTCAGGAATGATCTCTGAATCATTGCAGCACATTCATTCATTTACCACTTAAATCCTTAGCTGAATTGAGCTCCTTAAATGAATGGATTTTGTTGCAATGTAGGGCTCTTATTTCCCTGAAAAGTGAATACATTTTTTTTTTATAATATAACAACAGCCCTCATTTCAGGCCCATAAGGGGATCAGCAACTCTGTAAAGGAATATTTGCAACTCAGAGTAAGGCAGGAATCAGTTGACTGATATCATCAGATAATATAGATTTATTCGTATGGGTCTTAATATCTCTCTTTTAACAATTCCATAAAAAAAATAAAAAAAAAATAGACATGGATGGAGTCTCAGTTACGCCATCCACGTTTTGAAGCCAAATGATGGTGGGCGCCATAAGAATGGCGATGCTGATTCTTCCTAACTTTTAAACAATCTAGTTAAAGGCTGTAGAGCTGGTGGAGGAGCCTTTAACCTCCTGGCAAACAGCAGCAACAGGCCTGCTTGTTATTCAGCCAAGGCACGTCCCCAACTATGCAGATAAATGTATAACTCCCTGCCTTAATGTAATCAAAATGGATGAGTGACAAAAAAAGATCACCTTTGTACAGTTTGTTGAAAATAGCTCTATAATTATCTCTATAATTAACACAATCATTCCTCCTCGTTTGATCATCATTGCTAACGCTAATATTAGACCCATCAGTCTGTTATCATTCTTAGTTGCTACTGAAAATACTACACATACTTTTACCATTATAACTGTTATTGCAGCTATGTATCTATCGTATTCATTGTTGTAGTCCTTGATGATCTGTTTGTACCTATCCTTCTTCCTGCGTCTCCCGCTATACAGATGGATGTTCATCATGAGTCTGGTTTTGCTTGAGGTGTCTGCCTCTAAAGAATTGTTTTTGTTTGCCACTGTAAGTTTGCCAAATGCTACTTAGTGCTCATGATGGATTAATGTTGGGTCTTTGTAGGTTATACTGTATAACAAATGGTGTCTTAAAATAACATTTGTTGTGAATTGGTGCTATACAAATAAAGATTGATTGATTGATTGAGCTATAGAGACTAAAACTGTTTGTAAAATCTGCTTGTTACCGAGCTTCATTTGTTAACTCTGGATGTCACTGCTCGATGAAACCATAGCTTTGGCTATTAAAATCCAGGAATCAGCCATATTGTTTTTTTCATATATACTGCAAAACCCCTAAATTTGACTCTTCTATCACTTCCCATACTTGTTGTTCTCCTCATGTCATGGCCTGCTTTGGATTGGTTGGTTGATTATTTTCCCCTCTGAGGGCATTGAAGTGTAGAGGTCAGATATTTACATTTGGTATTTATGCTAATCCATACCTACTGTTGACACTACATTGATTCCCTCATTTGGTTAAAACTCAGAGCTCTTTGTTCCCTAATTACTTTTTGACTTGTAGAGAAATTGGATGATTGGTGGCTTCTAAATCGTTAATTAGTATTTATTTGTTAAAATGTGGCAATTACTAGTTTAACAAAACCTTTTTTAATTCCTATGATTGGTCCTAATTTGTCAGGACTGTTTCCTGTTATTCAAACCTAACAGCTCCATTGCATTACCTGGTCACTTCATTTACAACAGGTAGATAAAGAAAGAAGAAAAAGTAAGAAAAACCGGGGATTTACAGATAGAGGAGGAATCTCTGAAAGTAGAGGAGTGTTCTGGACAACGATTGAAACCGTGTGTTTCATATTCGCTCTGAAGTAGTGCTGATGTGCTCTCCATATTGTATTTTCAAGATGAGAAATGTCTCTTGTGAATATTTTAAACAAGGCATGAAAGAATTCTTGACAGTCATTTATCATACCATAATATGTAATAGTGGGATGATAAAAATGTAATTCTCAATCTTGGCTGTCTACCTATTCAATCCCAGGGCCTGCCGTTGCATATTCAAGTTGTTTTTTTCTCCACAGTCCCTTTTCTTTTTACACCATTTCCCCATTGCCTCAATCCCCTCTTCTTCTTTTTTTTTTTCTTCAAATTTAATTCACTGCAAGGAGCTCTGAGTTGATGAATATTTAAAGCGGAGCGTTATTTACAAAATCTTTATTTTATGCGCCCTACATTCACAGCCTCTTAGAGGATTTTGAAGGCTTTGGGTATGAATCAAGCAGGGACGTGTAAACTGTTGTTCTAACAGTGAGCTTGCATTTTCCCCTTTCTGCTCCGCCGCTGTGAAAATCAGCCTGCTCGCTGTTCATGCGATCCCTAAGAGCAGAAAACGGCTCACCTGCATAGACGGAACACATGCTTTATTCAGGTGATGTTTCATTCATTTCATGCTCCTGGCTGAAGTGGATGCAGCTGAGTCATTCGGCTCAGGTAAAAGGGTTTGGAGGCATAAATTAGACAGTCAGGTCAAGTGACGAGCAGTGAAAGGACTCGTAGATAGGGAGCCAATCAGCAGCTTTGTTGCCCTGGAAGCTTATTGGTGAAAGAAACTCATGATAATAGAACTGGTTTCCTGCAGCACTTACAATGAGATGTCTGTCTCCTGTTTTTCCATGGCGTATTGCACAGACTATGAATGCAGTTTCCAGCACCTTTCAGGGAATTTTAAATGCTCTTGTGTACAATTTACCTTTGGATGCAATCAAGCACAACAATGACATTTCTATCCTTTGTCCAAAATATATGCTAACACAAACATTAGTCTAGTCCCTTTTTTTTTCCTCCACAGCCGGTGTCATCTAGCTGAATAAAAAAAAAAAAACATATTTATTTTCTGTCTTACTATTTGTTTTTAATTGCCATGTCTTTCTTTCTGTGTGCAGAGAAAGTGTTTGGAGAGTTTCTGAGCTGGGACCTCGACGAGGCTTTGTCTCACCTGCCTCTGAAGCCTGGTCATGCTGTGACGCTGACCATCAACATCAAAGTCAAGCTGGACTTCTCTGGTCAGGAGAGCCTGCTGCAGGATCTCAATGATGGTGAGTGGATATGGAAACAAATCAGAAAGTGTGACCCTTTAGGAGTTAAAAAAAATGAATGAATGGGCTTGACAGTGGCATGCATCGCCCATTTGCCAATATAATGTGGTACAATTGGTACCATCTGCATGTCTGTGTAGCTATAGATATAGTCTCTATAAAGGGGCGGAGCTGACTGTCATCTCCAGTGGCTAATACACTTACCATTAATTGATTGAAGACTTCATTTCGAACAAGTACTTTTTTTCCAAGACGAAAAAAAACAAACAAACCAACGTAATAATAGACAAATCGACAAAATTGACAAATCCCTCATACAAACCCACTTCAATGTACTTTAATGCATCATTCATATAGAAGCAAATGTTTGTCCTTCATTTCTCTTGAGATAAATTGTTGTGAAACTGTCACAACAGCCTCTAACCGAGGGCTAGTTATGTCCGTATTGGGTGCAGACATGAGTGTTAATGCCCTGCTGTACATGGAGCTCTCTTCCTCACTGGCATTCTGGCTTCCTTATTCAAGATTCAACACTAATAGGATAGAGGTCTCAAGGTCTCTACACCTCCATTTCTCACCTAGCTTCTGGCTTCCTCATTTCGGCTGTCAGGTTTCCTTCCTTCTAATTCCTATTCCTGTTTTTTTATTTAAAAAAAAAAAAACAGTCTGACCTTCTCCCTTACCTCCAAGCTTATTCATTGTGTTTCTTCCCCGGTCTTTTTCACTGCTAATACTCAAGCCCCCTTTCTTTTCTGTCTCGCTCCCGACCTCTCTGCCTCCTTTTTCAGACAGTTGAACCTCTTCTGCTCAGCCTCTATGTGCTGATAAATATTAATGAGTGATCAATATGGACCTTCTACTGCACCACAGAGAATACTCTTTCTATGTTTTTGTGTGTATATGCGTGTGGATTCAGATGGCTGAGAAAGTAAACACATACAACGCTGCATGTTTATCTCGTCCCCACTGACACTCTCCTCATGAGGTCATTAAAGCGATACTTTTTCGATGTTTTAATTAGCTGAGCAATAATTGGGTCCCTGAATTAAGGAGATAAGGCCCGGTTTGTCTAAACAGCGGCTTAGAATTGAGTTATTATGGTGACATTTAGGGACAAGGTTTATGCAAAACACATTTGATTCTATCTCACACTGAAATACATGAATGGTATCATTTAAGTAACGTGTGAGTATGGGGGTGAGCTTTTTGTAGAAAGAGAATTGTGTTGCTTTTTCAGAATGCAGCTCTGTGTGCCGGAAGATTACAAAGTTCTGCCAACGCTGCTAATTAAACTGAATTCTTGACTAATCTAGTCCTACCTGATGCTTTCAAATAATTAATTATTAGTAAATGGTAAATGGACTTGAGCTTGTATAGCGCTTTTCTAGTCTTCTGACTATTCAAAGCGCTTTTACACCACAGGACTCACCTACACATTCACATCCATTCACACACTTACCTTAGACGTCGCTCTGTAAAGTGTCCATCAGAAGTAACTAATCCATTTATATACATTCAAATGCCGCTGACGAAGCAGAGGGAGCAATTCAGGGTTAAGTGTCTTACTCAAGGACACATCGGACATGTGGCCGCAGGAGCTGGGGATCGAACGGCCAACCTTCCAGTTGAGAGATGATCGACTCTACCTACTGAACCACTGCCGCTCCGCAGTATTGACTTTTTTATCAGACATCAAAAAGCTCTAAATGGTTGTATAAATAAACTCGCCATTCTCTCACACATCTCGAGTTGGAGTACAAGTGGCAAAAGGCAAACCTGGTTTCTTACAATAACTAGTATTTTCATCGCTGAAGCCAGCCGTCTTCTTTGTAGGGACGATCAAACAACAGATACGCCTCCAGGGTAAGGGGGACAGGAATAAATCAACATTTGAAAAGCACTGAACAAGTTTTACACTGTACAAACACAGCTGATTGTAAGGTTCAGTGTCTGATGTGAACCCTCTGAGACAACTAGCAGTACTGATCACTTGAGCGGCCAAACACATAATTTTGCATAATAATTATATATGACCCTTTGAGGAACTGCGGCTTTTGAAACTTGGATTTATTTTTTTGTAAGGTATATCAACTGTTCAACAGGCTCCGCCAAAGTTCAAGACAGGTGAATCTTGAAGCATCTGCTGAAAAATATAGAAACGTTTGCTCATTTGTTTGAACAATACAATCAGAAATGTTTTTTTCTTTTACAATTTCACGAGTAAATGCAACAGTTTAGAGAGTTCACATATTTGAGACCTCAATAGTAAACAGAAAAAAGACACTGCAGGGATGTATTTTCAGTATGGGTTCAAACTAATTATTAATCGAAGATAGTTAAATAAAACAAATTCTTAAATTTAATTAAACCGATTTCACCATGGAGTAGTGATTGACGCAGGTCTGCCTTCAATAATGCTGCTCTGTTGTATTCCCTAAAATGACACTAATGAGTTGTCTTAATACAAAGCAAAGCATAATGCAAAAAGCACAAATCTTAAACCCACAAACAAATGCTGAAGAATGACGCACGTCATTGTTCGCTTTGACAGTTTCTTCACAGCATTCAATACCCTTAAAAAAAAGACATTAATCATTACCTTTTTTCAATGCAGACAATATATTTTTATGACAACTCATTGCTTCTGTCACAGCTAAGTGGAGGAATGAAAATGTTGAAGGAAGAATGTGCATTTTCTTTGATCCAGTAGATGTCACCCTTGAGCACCGGCATTAAACCAAAACAAATTGCTGTTTGGCCAAACCCCTGCTGTACTGAAGCCTCCGCTCTCCTCCAGCGGCACACCTCCAACCCCTCTCCACTCGCGATCACACAATGGAGTTATCAATTAGAACGCACCATAATTAAACACTTTTAAGCGCAAGCAGCGGACATACCGTCCTTTGCTCGAGCTGCGGTTGCCTGTGTCCTGCATTGTTGTGTTAGCAGGCTGCACTTTGGTTCGCTCGTAGCTTCATATTGAACATTAATTGACATGAAATGACCGCTATATAAAGACACGTACATGACATCCAAAAAAGGAGGGAGTATGTTATTCTTCTTTTCTCTAGTCCTTGACTAAAACAGCTTCAAACACAAGGCCGTCCTGTCCATGTCAACATGATGTAAACATAGCTCTGACAATAGTACAGCTGTAGGGACTCACGCTTCTCACTCATTGCAGACAGTCATGACTCAGAGAGACATTTACAGAGGATTTACTTGATTTCTGCTGTGTTAATGTGTAAAATATTGCACATTCTTCCTTTAAGTTCTAGTTCCTTTTTTTTGCCACTGACTTACAATTGGTGAATTTCTCCACAGCGTCACAATGTCACTGGTAAATGGACGCTTTCATCCAAGGTGGTTTACAACCTATCGCTCAAAGATTCATGAACACAAAAGTGCCAACTGCTTTGAGCTACAATGAAAGGCTTTTGGTGTTGCTCAAAGACAGTTTGATACCTGGAGATTAGAAACCACCAATCTTGCTTTTAATGGACGAGTGGCTCACTGTTCACACATTGAAACCTTAAAGTAGGCTGTATAATATGCTAAAACAAACCCTGAAACACACAATACTGGTGTACTGCTGCCCAAGGGTGTGATTTGTAAAGACAGTATGCTTGTGTTTAGAAGTAAAAGAGATGTAGGTGAGATGTTTACCACAGAAGCAACGTTGTCAGGTTTGTATTATAGCATGTGCATTAAGCAGTTACATTTCTTTAAAAAATGAAAAAAAGGTTATGGTCCTTTACCCTCACTGTGATGTGGCACAGCAAAATGACCTCTTAGACCTTGTTGTCCTTCTATCTCACAGTCATCTATGGTCACTGTTTGTCAATGGCTATCTTCTTCCTCTTTCCCCCCAGTCAGGTTCTGCTGTCTACATCAATTACACAGACCTTGAATTAGCCCTCTTTCTGTCTGTGCCGCCAGCTTAAAGGATGTATATATGCACAATAGTCACACCTTGGTCCAGTTTTGGAAGTTAACGATAAGAGATGGCTGTTGGTCTCGCAAAACCATCAATTGGCGTTTTTGTTAAACAATGGACAAAGCCAGGCTACAGGATTCCTCTTTGTCTATTTGTATGCTAAGCCATCATACAACAGCATTGCATCCTGAAGTCGAATGGCCACTTGTTGCTGCTATCCTATTTGATAACAACATTCATAACAACAAATATAACTTTAATTAAATATTTTTTAGTTTGGATGATTTGTTCCCATTGTTTCTAACTTTTTTTAATTTAATCTGTTGGCGTTATAAATATTCTTTGTCCTTGGTTGCCCTGGGTAGGTCAACATAATCAGTACTGAATTAAAATAGCATATCAGTAGCTCCCACTCTTACATGGAAAATCTGAAATTGGTTGTGAAGATGTGGATAAATATGAATGTGAATGCGTGGAAATGAATTTTTCCACTTTGCGGAGGTGAAAAGGTCCACATGAACACTCTATTCTGTCCCTCTGTGTCTATTTCACACCTTATTTTTTTCTTCTAGCTCCATAGCCTGCAGATAGATGATAGCTCACAGTCCGAGGAGTGTGTGTCAGATTCTTTCAGATGTGTGCTGCTGGTACATTGTGTTAACATCAGCACTTCTCCATATTAAATCTAACTATAATCTCAGATGTCTGGCAGCCTTCGAATGAATGAAGTTTAGCTTTTACTGTCTGTCAAGCTGTACTGAAGGTGGAAATTAGTCTGTACCTGATTCACTCCTGACATATTGTTGACATTAATGGATTATTAGTGGAATTTTTCTGTAATTATGTGCTATTTATTGTACAGGCTGCACTTATAAGCACACTGTGGAGAAGGTCAATCCATCAGCATCAACTGTGGTGATGCCTGGAGGTGCTGTACTCAATGTCCTTTGTGTTTCAGCTGAGGCAGAAGAGGCAAAACAGACAAGGCCACAGAGAACAGTGAAGAGGGGACATTCAAAACAGAGTCTCATTGATTTGTCCCTGGAAGAGTTTGTCCCTTATT